GACACACACACACACACACACACACACACACACACACACATCACCATCACATGCTAAACACCTCAAATATCATCACAGCCTGCCAATCACAATCACACACAATCACACTTTATGTTTGATGTAATCAATCAATCACTCACGCACTCACGCACACACACACACACACACATCAATCACACCATCACACGATCCCGACACACACACACACACACACACACACACACACACACACACACACACACACACACACACACACACACACACACACACACACACACACACACACACTTCAATCCCACACACACACACATATCAATCCCATCCCACACAGGCTTTGATGTTGAGGCGCAGCCGCTCCTAAGCGATACGCAGACAAGAGTGGTCGTGCGTGCTTGAGGTTGGGGCGAATTTTCGCTGGCATTTTTATAAGAATTTCTTCAAATGTTTCAAATGCTCGGTTAACGGGCGTTTAGAAGACCCAATTTGCGATTTCTTCGAAGGTATTCTAGAACTTTCGGTGCAATATTGCGTAAACCGAGCGCTTGCGTCACCCAATTGAAGATTGCCATCACAGCTGGCAGACCAGCAATCGCGCGAAGGTGCTGGCCAAGCGCCATCAACCATCTTCTTGCGTCCGCGGCGCGCCGCTCCCCTCATCTCCACCAAGACTACCCACCACCCAAGCAAAGCAAGAGCACTGCAACAAACAAAGATGATGTGATGACACCATTGCAGCAAGCAGCGTTCGGGATGCTGCATTGCATCGCAAGAGATGCAACTGTCACACACAAACACAAACACACACACAGCAGCAGCACCCATCATATGCACCTTTGGCTCGGCAACGTCACACCATTTACTCTGCATCCACACGGACATCAACCAGCAGCATCACCAGCAGCATCACCGACACGGCATCGCCAACATCCATACACACTACCGCACACCAAACAAAACACACCACCTTTCTTCCATCACAGCCACGCCACAGCAGCAATCGTCCACGCCTGCACGCTATCGCAGCGCACGAACACAGCCCTTCAGATCGTCATCAAATCACATCACATCACACAACGAACAACGAAACCCACGAATCCCTTGAGGCAGCCCAGCAGCCAGTTGTGAGCGATCGCACACCAGCCAAGCGCGGCCGCGCCACATCTTGTCACCATTTCTGACACACCACCAAGATCGACAACGTCAACGGCATAACGCCCACTCAACCCCAACTCCAGCAACAAGCCCCAGCAACAGCGAAAAGTCTGACAAATCATCAGCCCCAACTGCTCCAGCTCTTGGCCCGTTACCTTCTGCATCAACAACTGCCCCAAACCAACTCCAGCCCCACCCCGACCCACACGGTGAGCCAATCCCAGCAGCAGCAGCAGCACCACCCCCCCCAGCAACCGTTCAAGATTCCGGGCCCTGTGGCTCACCCGGCTCCCACCCACGGGAGCGGCGACAGCATGTCATCGTCAACCCCCACTGGAGGCGGCATGGCAACCTCCTCCTACATGGACGCCCTGCCTTCGACCTCCTCCGTCATGTCCCCCTTGACCAATGATGCCTTCCAGCTCGGCTCCCCGAGCAACGGCGACCTGCTGCCGTTTTCCGGGCGATCCCGCATCGCGTCCATCGGCTCAATCAACAGCAACCTCTTCCCGCCAGCCTCCGACTCCTTTGACACATACGCCGCCACATGGCCGGGCAGCAATGGCAACGGCAACAGCCACCTCGGCGGTAACGGCAGCGGCAACGGCGCAGGTCACACGGCCGGCGCACCAGACACCCATGCCTTTGAAGGCTTCGATGACCCCTTCTCCCCGACCGCCACCTTTGGTAGCAAGACGGCCGCCAAGAGCGGCTTCCCAACAAAGCGCGCCAACTCCAGCTTGGGCGGCACCGGTGCCAAGCGCAGTGGCAGCACCACAACAGCAACCGGCAACGGAGCCGGCAGCAACGGGCAGGGCTTCCTCGGCCTCGACTACTTGGAGGCCATGCTTGCAAACGGCAGCAGCAACGGCAACAACGGTGGCAAGCAGCAGCAGCAGCAGCAACAGCAGCAGCAGCAACAGCAGCAGCTGCTTCAGCAGTCGGGGGTGCAGGCCCATCGCCCACGCAAGCCGTCAGACACGTTTGACGAGACACTGCGCAGCTTGATGGCGGCAACGAAGAACCACAGCGTCCCACCAAGCCAGCTGCAGCCCCAGCCCATGCCTGCAGCCCACGCCTCAACAACGTCCGCCCCCTTCACGACAAGCGTGTACAGCGCACCCACAACGACAGGAGCATCGACGACAGGACGCGGCCCCGCTGCCAAGCGCGGCAAGATCACGGACCTCGACGGGACGACCGCTGCGAGCACATACGCGCTCGGCGCCGACTTCAAGCCCCTGCCCATGAACGTGGACAAGGACACCAGCACCGACAGCAGGCAGAAGGGCAAGGCGAAGGCGGCGACAGGTGGCACGCGGCGTGTCACGCGATCATCAACACGCCG